TTAAGAGTTAAAGAGGAAAGACTTTTGGCCCCTCTGAGCCCCTAATCTGAGGAGTCAGCCCCTTTTTCTTGATATCAAATTAAAGGTCTTGTGATTTCAAAGACTTTTTGTTCAACACCTATTCAGAGATTTCTTTTCATTGTGGAGATATGATTCAGGTAAATACTTAGGGGCCACCCCTACAAGTCCTTAATGGGGCCATTTTACAAAAATTCAAAGTATGCATATTGTTGAGAACATTATTCTGACCAACTTTTGTTCAATATTGCTTATCAAAATATTCCCCCTTTTTGAGATATAAAGCGTCAAAGATCTGACATTCTGGCCCCTTGTGACCCCTAATTACGTAACACATGATCCAAATTGTATCATATATTGTTGCAAATCGTTAAGATGAATACTTTTGCTTCTACAATGTATTACAAAATATTGATAATTAAAGAGTTAAAGATGAAAGATTTTTGGTCCCTCTGAACCCCTATTTTGAGGGGTCAGTCCCTTTTTCTTGATACTAAATGAAAGGTCTTGTGATTTTGAAGATTTTTTGTTCAACACTTATTCAGAGATTTCTTTTCGTTGTGGAGATATGCTGAATGGAAATATTTAGGGGCCACACCTAAAAGTCCTTAATGGGGCCATTTTTAAAAAATTCAAAGTATGCATATTGTTAAGAATATTATTCTGACCATCTTTTGTTCAATATTGCTTATCAAAATATTCCCTCTCTTCAAGATATGAAGCGTCAAAGATTTAGCATTCCGGCCCCTTCTGACCCCTTATTACGTAAGATATGCTTAAAAGTTGAAAATATGTTGTTGCAAATGGTCTAAAATTAATAAAAATCGAAAAATCGAGCAGAAAAAATGATAAAATTTTTTGGACAAACGGGGGATCGAACCCGGGTCGCCCGTGTGACAATCCAACGCGCTAACCATTCGGCCATCGGGATCGCCGCTTCGCGTTTTCAAATGCAAATATCTCGAGATTGGCTTTTTCGATTTTCAAACAAATTACATATTTGGCTTCTGCAAAAGGGTCTCTATTAAATTCTAAAACAAAAATATTAAAAAAGAAAAGTTGAAAAATTACGTTTTTTAAATTCGCTTCCGGTTTCGACCGGAAGTATTGACGTCGCACGAAAAGGCGATTCTGCAACGCTATAAGTCATGAACTATCATCTCCAATTAATCTTCAGTTCATATCTAAAGCAGTTTTCGCTACTAAATCAAGACAAAATTGCATTTTAAAATCAGAAAATTGTCCATATCTCACGAAAGGAAGTGACGTCATCGACGAAAAAAATTTCCAATAAGGTTCAGATCAGTACCTAACAGATTTAAAAATTTCATGAGAATCGGTCCAGTAGTTTACGAGAAATCGCGTGCACAAAATCGGTAAGAAAAATAATAATAATAACTAGATACGATCTCGTTGTGAACAACGAGTGGGTCTTCCGTTCGATTCTTGATGAGATGAGATAAGATTTTGATTGAGATTTTCATTCTAAAGTAATGATTTTCCATTATCTGTAAAAAGACATTGAACAATAAAGACTTCTGGCCCCTCAGGGCCCCTAATATTAGGGATCAGCCCTTTTTCTTCATAACATTTTAAAGATCTCAGGATTATGAACACTTTTTGTTCAACAACTATTCAGAGATTCTTTTTCGTTTTCGAGTTATTAGGAAAAGAAATGTCAAGGGACCAGCCCTTCAACTCCCTAATGGGGACGTTTAGCGAAAAATGAAAGGTTGCATATTGTTCAGAACATCATTTTGAACATCTTTTGTTCAATATTACTTATCAAAATTTTTCTCACTTTTGAGATACAAAGCGTCAAAGATTTTGCATTCTGGCCCCTTGTGGCCCCTAATTATGTAATGTACGACTTTAAAATCATAATATACAGTTGTAGATTGTTGAAATAAACATTTTTGCTTCAGTAATGTATAACAAATTATTGACTGTTAAAGAGTTATCGAAAAAAGACTTTTAGCCCCTCTTGGCCCCTAATTTGAGTGTCCAGCCCCTTTTTCTGGATTTCATCTTAAAGCTCTTAGGATTTTGAGCACTTTTTGTTCAACAACTATTCAGAGATTCTTTTTCGTTTTCGAGTTATTCGCAAAAGAAATATTTAGGGGCCAACCCGGAAAAGAGGGACCAGCCCTTCAACTCCCTAATGGGGACGTTTAGCGAAAAATGAAAGGTTGCATATTGTTCAGAACATTATTTTGAACATCTTTTGTTCAATATTACTTATCAAAATTTTTCTCACTTTTGAGATACAAAGCGTCAAAGATTTTGCATTCTGGCCCCTTGTGGCCCCTAATTATGTAATGTACGACGTTAAAATCATAATATACAGTTGTAGATTGTTGAAATAAACATTTTTGCTTCAGTAATGTATTACAAATTATTGACTATCAAAGAGTTACCGAAAAAAGACTTTTAGCCCCTCTTGGCCCCTAATTTGAGTGTCCAGCCCCTTTTTCTGGATTTCATCTTAAAGCTCTTAGGATTTTGAGCACTTTTTGTTCAACAACTATTCAGAGATTCTTTTTCGTTTTCGAGTTATTCGCAAAAGAAATATTTAGGGGCCAACCCTTCAACTCCCTAATGGGGACGTTTAGCGAAAAATGAAAGGTTGCATATTGTTCAGAACATGATTTTGAACATCTTTTGTTCAATATTACTTATCAAAATTTTTCTCACTTTCGAGATACAAAGCGTCAAAGATTTAGCATTCTGGCCCCTTGTGGCCCCTAATTATGTAATGTACGACTTCAAAATCATAATATACAGTTGTAGATTGTTGAGATAAACATTTTCGCTTCAGTAATGTATAACAAAATATTGAGTGCTAAAGAGTTATTGATTAAAGACTTTTGGCCCCTTTTGGCCCTTAATTTGAGTGTCCAGCCCCTTTTTCTTGATTTCATCTTAAAGCACTTAGGATTTGAACACTTTTTGTTCAACAACTATTTAGACATTCTTTTTCGTTTTCGAGTTATTTGCAAAAGAAATATTTAGGGGCCAACCCTTCAACTCCCTAATGGGGACGTTTAGCGAAAAATGAAAGGTTGCATATTGTTCAGAACATTATTTTGAACATCTTTTGTTCAATATTACTTATCAAAATATTTCAGACTTTCGAGATATAACGTGTCAAACTTTTAGCATTCTGGCCCCTTGTGGCCCCTAATTATGTAACATATGACATAAATATTATAATACATAGTTGTAGATTTTCAAGATATACATTTTTGCTTTGTAATAATTAACAAAATATTGTCTGTTAAAGAGTTATCCAATAAACACTTTTGGCCCCTCTCGGCCCCTAATGTAATGAGTCAGCACTTTTTTCTTGATATTATTTAAAAGATCTTGTCATTTTGCACAAATTTTGTTAAGTATGTTTTAACAAAATCGTTATACTTTAAAAGATATGACACAAAATGTCTCAAAAATTCACTCATAAAATCGTGTCCTAAATTTTGACCCCTATAGAGCTTCCATACTATACAATTTTGGAAATTTTCAAAACTATTTGCAATTCACCAAAGTGTCGTCTATCATCACTGAAAATTTCAGCTCTCTAGCTTATGCCGTTTTTAGATTACTCAAGGACAAGGAGACCCTCTAAAAATCACTGTAAGGGCGATAACTCCGACCGGAAGTGATTTTTTCAAAATGATTTGGGGGTACAAACTTCAGATAGAAACACATAATCTCTGAAAATTTGAACAAAATCGATCGAATCGTCTTCGAGAAATCTTCTGCAAAAAAATTGTAAAGAAAAAAGAGGAATAATAACTAGAGCAAAGCTCGTTGCAAAGCAACGAGTAGGTCTTCCGTCCTGTTTTGACCGGAAGTGACGTCAACAAAAAGAAAGCAATGAGCTAAGTTGTCTCCAGTGACTTTATAATTTCAATTTTGAGTCAAAACCTTCAAAATAAGCTTTTTTGGCTACTTCTGGTTTGACCAAAGGTGATGTGAATTGACAAAAAATTAAGTTTAATGCCTTCATTGATATATGTTACCCAAAACCTTGTCAAGAATGACAAAAATATGCACTTTCTGATGACTTTCGGTTTGACCGGAAGCGACGTCACCAGACGCATTTTGACGAATTCAATAGATTAAGCTTGACATTTTGAACAACTTTGCTTCTTTGACGTATTACAAATTCAAATTTTTTTTCCAGATATTAAGGAAAAAATTTTGGTCCCTCTAAGTCCTTAATTATAGGGGCAAGCCCTTTATAGTTGATATCCTTTGAAAGATCGTGATATTCTTATAATTTTTCTTCTATATGTCTTTACAAAATATTAACATGTAAAAAGATATTGCAGAAAAGGTGTGAACATTTTCTAAATCCCCTATGGGATTTTTTACAAGCCATAGCGAGCGCCGACGTGCTGCACTTCCGGAGAAAGAGAGAGGTATGTGTCACATCAGCACATGTAGCTCTATCATCACTGAAAATATTATGTTTCTGTCTAAAAGCAATTTTGAGAAAAATGCTGGTCAATGTGACCCTATGAAAATCACTAAATCACAGAAATCTACACTAATGAATGCTCTGTGCCAAGTTTAACTTAACTTTGTCCAGTTGTTCTGAGAAGGAAATGAAATTCTGAAGAATTTAAGATAAAGATGATAATGGGTGAATTTTCAAAATTTTACTACAGCTTTAGCTCATATGAGCTAAACTGTAAACAGATTTTGTGCTTTGTTGACTTTGAAATGTGACTGGACATCTCTTTGATCTTGTGTTTGAAATAACATGTCCTTTGTTCTGAATCATGCACATTTGTTAATGCTTTAGTTGTTTATGCCAAGATAGCAATGTTCCTTCAATTATACTGTAAAAATACACATATTAGATCTTATATATTGCCACTGAAGACAGACCTCTATCATCTTTACCATTAGAATTGGTATGTCTTCCCTTGGAAGCGGAAGACCTCAATACAGATGTAAACATGCAAGATCTGACAAATATTTAAAAGAACATTTATTCCAAATTAAACATATTAGATTTTGCAACAAAATCTATTTATCTTGAAAAACTGAAAGCAATTGATATAATCATATTTTTGGATTTATGTCTGTTTCTCAAATCAAAATTTAAATATGATATATTTAAAATGTTTCTCAAATCAAAATTTAAATATGATATATTTAAAATCATCTTCTTAAAGTGAGACTTGATTCAGTTGATTGTTTCAATTTCATTCTGCTATTTATTCTTTGTCATCTCCCAAAAGAGGCTCTTCTGGCAAATCATGATCATGCTTGGCATCAAATTTCAGTACTCAGATGACAGTCACACCTATCAAAAGAAATTGATTTTTTTTAAAAGTACAACTTATCAGATAAGATAAACCATCAAACTTAGTTATAAGATATTGTTATACCTTTAAAAAATTGTTCCTATACAAATCTATACAGAAAAAAGTCTAACATTTTTAATGTTTTGCTGAGCGGGCATAAAAAAATCGATGTTGGACCGCTCGGAGAGATGTTGGACTGCTTACGTCACAGAATGGGCGGAGCTTAATCTCATTTTCATTCTTTGGTTTTAAACAATGACAGATCTAATGTTACATTACGGAATATAGTACAAAATACATGTATGTCAAAAAATATATAATAAAATGAAAGGTATAACAAAACATTTATTGACAGAGTTCTCGGGCAAAATGCGTTTTGTCGGACCCTCGAACCAAATAAACTGCCTGCCTTCGGCCTAACGGCCTCGGGCAGACAGTTTGGTTCTATGGTCCGACAAAACGCATGTTGCCCTCGAACTCAGTCAATAAATATATACTGTCACGTTTCTGCATGTGTATTATTTGTAAAACTACTCTAAAATCATTTATAAATTTAGGTTTACAGGCAGTCATTTGAGGATGTAATAAATAACATATTAGTTTTTCATGATTTCAAATAAATGGTATATACATAACTTGTTCATGTCAAAATTTATTAGGAATGGTAATGGTTAACAGTTGTTAACCGACTAATCAGTCAGAAAGATGGTATCTGGTTATGATTTTTTATGTGTCAGGATAAGGCCATTCATAAAGGTGTTACAGCACATTAGGAACAATGCACTAATGAAGTGACAAAACAGCATCGCATAAGAAACAATGAGCTAGCGCAAAGTAACAATGCTGCTCTAGCTCATTTAAAACACCATGCTTCTAAGTTTATGACAGCATGCTAATTGTTTAAGACACTTACATGCTAGCGTGAAGTAAAAATGTGCTATCACGCTTATGAGAATGGGCTAGTGTGCTTATGACAACACGGTGACAATGTACTTAGTGCGTTTGTAACAAAGTTTCAGCAGGCTGTTTACACTACGCCGTCAAGCTTACACATAAGGCCAAAATAAAATATACTCTTGTTTCCTGTCCCCTGACCAAAAAAATTAGGGTCGGTAGGTAGGGAAAAAATTTTATTTTTATAAAAAATTTTATTTTCAAAATTTAATGAATGCAGAACATATAGCATGTAATAACTGTAATAACAAGAAAATGATATGTTAACAGTTTCAAAGCAAGTTTGTTAATCAAGATTTATAAAGTAAAGGTAACCTGTACACTTGTGATGTATTAATTCTGTAAATATCATTGGTCAACTTCAGTATTTTAGAAAAATAGTTATCCAAAAAATGAAAATGTAATAAAAACTTTTAGGGTCGGAGGGTAAAATGTAGGGTAGGTCGGGTGACAGGAAACAGGAGTATTTTTTATTTTGGCCTAATAGATTGTGTAAAGTTGTATTAGGCCATTCCAAGTTTTTTCTCTGTTTAGCGTCCACCCATCTTTCAAAAACCTACCAATCTATTCGCAAAAAAAACAACAACACAGAAGCCAAAACATAAAACACCTGATTTAAATGATTTTCAATGATTTGATCTAACTAAACTACTTTAATAGAAGAAATGTCTATTCTTAAGCAAAAACAAGGGAATAAACGCTTACAATACACCAAATATAACTTACTGTACAGAATTATTTGGAGAAATTGACAAATTCAACAATTTTGCCTAAATTAATCAATTTCAGGGCTCTTGATGTTGTGTGTTTTTTCTAACATGGGGTGTCAAAAACCAAGGCGCACACGGACGCTAAACATAGAAAAAACTTGGAATGGCCTTAGCATGGCAGCATGTTGAGCATCAGCACAACTGCATGTTGTTCTAAGTTGCCTTAGCCTAACAGTGTTGAGAACACTGTGTTAATTAGCACATTGTTCCTAACACACACTTTAACAAATTGCCTTATCAGGACACCATTTAGTTTTCCATATATATTTTAAAAAGACTGGGAATAAAATTCAATTTTTGATAAGCTTCTTTTCATTATAAGTGTTTGCCTAAGCGTTTTTTACTATATAACCCAAATACATCATTGTCTGTTATGGTAGCCTAGTGGTAGGGCAATCGCTATGTATAATCATGAAGCTGGGCTTGATTTTAATTCACTGCATCAAACCTAAGACAAAAACATGTACGCAGTTATGTTCCCTAACCATGCACCCAACATTTGTAGTGAATTAGACCCTAAAAACCTCACAGTAGATGTTAGGATAATGACCCTGAGTTCCAAGTAAAGGTCCATATTGAAGCTATTCACCAGTATATATTAAATGAGTGAATGAGTGAGATTCTCATGATAACATTATCAATCAAAGTATCAATAAGAAGCTGATACTTACTGCTAAATGCTAGAGACAGGTTACTCCAAAGAGACTGTATAAACCGAGATTCTGTGTCACAGTAGGTGTGGGTGTTGGCACGAAAAGGATCCCTTACTTCTCAAAGGCAATAAGTGCTGAGTACAAGTCTATATTTGCAGCTTACTATCCCAAGTGGTGGCATCATAAAATGACTGAAAAATTTTCAATAGACTAATTAACAAACAAACCATTATCACAAAAAAAGCAAACTCTACTATTACATTTTTTTTTTACAAATTTCTTTTGCAATTTAACTAAGAAACATACATATGACATAATAAAATATTGATTTAATTAACTGAGCAATATTATATTGTGTGCAATTTTTTTGTCAATAAATTATACTAAATTTTTTTCTGCAGTAACTTTGGACCCACAGTGCTTTGCTTCTTTGAGCTACATTCAAGCTTTAAAGTGGTATTAATGTAGGCCAAACTTACACTACGACGTCATGTGACTTTAGAGTCTAGTGCCCTGTTCAGACGGAGAGTTTAATTCGCAGTAAATTATTGCGAAGTAAACTAAATTAAATGCAAATCAAACTAATGCGTATCAAACTGTGTTCACATGACAGCTAATTATAATGCAAAGTAACCAAATCGAATAAAAATTTTACTTTGACAGTCATGCAGGCTTCAGTTAGGCTTTTATGACATCATTTACAAATCATATCACCTTAGGCATAAACAGATGTATTTGACATAATGTCACAGTGTCTGTTTTCACATTTTAGTGATTAACACTATATTTTCCTTAGTTTTTCACTCAAAAATAGCACAAGTACTTAAAGCTGACCACCAACATGTAGCATTTGACTTAATTTTGCCATTTCACATGCCTCAAAATTTAATTGGAATTAGCTTACCTTAGTCATGTTAGTGTTCACAAGGAGCTAATGCAAAGTAATTTAATGCGCAGTAAATTAATTCGAATTAAAATAATTTGAATTGAACTCAGTCCATGTGAACATGCATCGATGCACCAAATGTCTAGTGCGGTTTGACAAGCCTGATCTAAATTAAAAGTGAATAAGTATCTGCCCTTACCATGCTTATCGTACCCTAACATCACACCCGTCAACATATTATTAGTTGAAAAACATTTTGTTTTGAACATGTTGAAAGCAAGTCTTGTTGAAATTACATGCTCACACATAATTAAATAAAATTTAAAGCTGTGGGGATTTTAAAAGGCTAACTGAGAGCGTCTGAACTGTAAAACAGTTAATATATCGCTGTGTCTGTGTATTTCTAAAAATATCGACAGCTGATAAATGCTCTAAGCTGCCATAGTCTGATAGTAATATAATGTAAATTTTAGGTAAACAAAAATCTTACCTTCGAATTCATTCCCATGGTCCACGCCAATCATAAATTAAAATGTAACCGTCAGCTCTTTAATCATTCGATACAATTATCACTGGGGAATCCGAAACAGAGTCAAGAGTGTTCATCCTTGTTTATCACTGTGGCAGTCGGAATTTCCTCGTAAACAATTCACACAAGAATATATAAATCGGATAATTTTGCTTAGAATAATGCTCCAGAGGATTGATAAAGTACTTTGAGCTGCAGATAAAATGTCCGTGCATGTTTACATACGGCTTGTATGGTGAGAAAATCCTCAACTTCACTTTGTAAACATGATCAACATGTGTCCGATTTGCCGATTTCGATGGGACACACTGAAACCCGGATGTACTAAAGACCTGAAATTACCCGATGTTTTTATTTTAAATTAAATGATAATATTGAGTACTTAAAATGTCTTATTTTAAAGACCTTTGACTATGATGCATTATGTTATACAAGAATTCATTTGTTTGGAATATTACTGACAATTTTTAATCAGGTCAAATCAGGATTATAGCATATCAAGTCTTTAGTACCTTCCCGTTTCCCACAATGCCGCGCGTTGTTTACACCTATACAAATGCAGAAACAACCCATTTTGATTTCACCTTTTGTTGTGTACATACATCACATTTTAAATTACTTGCATAAAAAGAAAACAGAGAAACACCGAATCAACACTATATCTTACTGATAGGTCCCTGCTAAAACTGTGCGTTAGTGGCACAGTGAAGGCTTGGCTGGCTACAGTAGTTAGACAACTTGTCCAAGTAAGGTTTCCCACATATTTGTTTTATGAAAAAACAAATATAGTTTGGAGTTTGTTTATCTTTACACCAAATGACAGGGTTTTTCATCAATTCGAAATGATTTCAGATAAAATTTTTCATAGTATAACTGTTACCATTCAAAAATTAATATTTTTAGCTCTCAGAAAAAAAAACGTTTATGATCTATTTACCCCTGGCCTAATTATAGGGGCCAGCCCCTTTTCCTTAATCTTATATGAAAGCTCTCATAATTATGCACAACTTTTGTTGTATATTTCTTGCCAAACTATTCTCAGTGCAAAAGTAATTACGCGTTTTGACCGGAAGTGACGTCATTTGACGACTTTTGACAATACCGGCATTATTTCCGGCTGACATCACAGTCAGCAAGTCAGAAAAAAATTGAAAAACTCAAATTCAATCGGTTTATTTGATTTATTTTGATTCAAAGGAAAAACTTTAAATTTTCGACTACTTCCGGTTTTTACCGGAAGTATTTCTGATGGATGCTTTTTGTTGAGGATTGTGAATAAAAATATATGTTCTATTTGCCTTTAATCAATCCCGTTAAATTTTTCAAAAAATCTTAAAATTAAACACCCCTTCCTGTGTCGACCGGAAGTGACGGATGCGAAATTAAAAGACGTCATGCATAACTCAATAAAATGTTTTATAATCCCTGAAAATATCATGATTCAATCTTGAGTGGTTTACAAGAAGATGCTTGGACAAAATGACAACTTAAAAAAAGAAAATCGGACAAAAAATGCGACCGGAAGTGATTTTCAAAAAAATGAAAAAAAGGTCTGGAGATATTACAACAATGCATCATTCCTGAAAAAATCTTTGAAATCGGTTCAGTAGTTTCGGAGAAATCACGTGTACTATGAAAAGGGAAAAATAATAATAATAGGAAACATAAGAAAAACAGTAAGGTCTTCCGAAGGAAGTCGGAAGACCTTAATAAAAGTGAAAAAGAAACAATAGAATAATAGAAGGGTCTTCCGTTGGAGACGGAAGACCCTAATAATAGGGAAAAAGAAACCGAAGAATAACAAGAAGGTCTTCCGTTGGAGACGGAAGACCTTAATTAGTAAGGTTTGAGGACGTTTCACAGTTAGAAGATAAGAGCAGTTCTTATCATGCTCTTCTGTATGCATTGTAGTTCATTTAAATCATGTCGGCACACATTAATTTGGTACCACGTAGCTTACAATCGCTGCCTCTATGGCGCAATTAATTATAAAAACAGTACATGTATATTATTTATTATGTACATGCAATATATAGTGATTGAATATTCAATACGTATCCGGTACATCCGGTACATCATATAAAACTCAGATGGGATTTGATAAGTTTTTAAATCTCAGACTGGAAGTGAGTTATTCAGTAAAAGAAATCAAATAAAAATGATTTACAGTGTACTACTTACATAATATGGTACGTTCTATATATCCATATACATTTTGTGAACTATATTATTTTTTTTTCTTCTAGACAATTATTTGAGACAATGTAACTAAAACAAGCCTTTCTGTTAACATATTGCACTATGCTGAGATTTATCAGTGAAGTTGATTTTCGCATCTAAGTAACAATTAGTAACAGACTGGAATGCATTCAAGGACGGTCTTTTTAAGCGCTAAGCGCAGCGCAAAGCGCTTTCTGTCAGCGTAAATTTACTTCCGTTCCGGATCCAGCGCCACTATAAGCAAGATAGATAACTCCACTGGTTATTCCAAAAATATGCAACTGGAAATCCCTGACTCTCTTTCTGCTATTTTAGTGTAATGCTGCGTTACGTGCATTTCTAATAATAGAAGGCAATTAGTAAGGTTTAAGGATGTTGGTAGATAAGAGCAGTTCTTATCATGGTCTTCTCTATATATACATTGTAGTAATTCATTTAAATCATGTCGGCACACATTACTTTCGTATCATGTAGCCCACAGTTGCTGCCTCTATGGCGCAAATACTTAATTAAAAAAACAGTATATTATTTATCATGAACATGCAATATAGTGATTGAATATTACCCGTACCCGGTAGATGATTTAAAACTCAGATGGAATTTTGATAAGATTTTAAATCTCAAACTGGAAGTGAGTTTTTCAGTAAAAGAAATCACATAAATTAATTTACAATGTACAATTTACATAATTTGGTACGTTCTATATATCCATATAAACTATAATTATTTTTTTTCTTCTAGACAATTATTTCAGGCAATGTAACTAAAACAAGCCTTTCTATTAACATCTTGCACCATGCTGAGATTTATCAGTGAAGTTGATTTTCGCATCTAAGTATCAATTAGTAAGACTGGAATGCATTCAAGGACGGTCTTTTTTTAATGTCTATACTTGTGTTGTACATAATTCGAAAGGAAGGATAGTTTGTGGCTGTAGAGACATGTAGAGCACGTGGTGGATGTGTTTTCAACGAATTCACTCATATAGTAAAATTTATTTCTCGGAATACAGGTATTGTGCTCTAAAATTGTGCGTGTAGTGTGCAGGATATGTCGAAAAATGCTAAAACCTTCATCAACGTTCTTAGCAATGGACAGAAATAGGGCTGATGAAATGTTAAGCAAACGGTGTAAAACTTGAAGTAGGGAACTAGGAATAAATAGTTTATGTAAAGATGTGTCTCAGCTGTGTTGCCGATTCCTAATGAAGACTAAATAAAATAGAAAAAAATAATGTTGTATACCTTCATGAAGATTTATTAATACTTGAGATTAATAATGTATTTTTTTTTTCATGAACTCTTGAATTATTAATCATTGAAATAGCAGAAATATTATGATCAATTATTTTCAGTATTCCATTCCAACTAGCACAACAATCCGTAGATATGTTTATTCCTCTCAGCATGTTTTGCATGGTAGTGAAGATCATACATACACAAGTAAAGAATGGCGAAAAGCATCAAGCATCCGCAAAAAAATATTGAAGCATTTTAAATTATTTCAACAATAGTCAAAATATTTTTGGGGGTTTAATGACGTATTTTTAATCCAAAGAAGAAAAGTGTAAAAAATTTTATCGCAAAATTAAACGTATCATAAATTAATGAGTAACACATATTGTATAATTCAACACAAATGTTACTGCAAATACATGTACGCTATAAATCATATATTTGAAAATCAGAGATTACAGGATAGCATCAAAAGATAAATATAATATCTTTATACTAAAATGTATATATATCTCTGACATTAAGGGCGTTAATTCTACGGATGTTCATTTCATTTACATAGAGTTTTGTCATATGACGTTGTTACAAACATGATGCCAATCTTCAATTTGAAAAACTTGTAAACGCAGAATAAATTTGTTATTAAATATGATCACCAGAAGATTTTATCTTTCAGTGTTAGCGACATTTTCATCTGTTCACATTTTTTTCAAATACAATGTATACATTTTCCAGCAAAAGTATACCTACATGTATATTTAGAGTTTAAATTTCATCGGAAAACTCGATAACGATCTCCCTTCCAATAAATTGCAATTTATACGCAAATACGACCTCTTATAGATTCCTACAAGGCGATGTGGAAAGAAATTAATTTTACACGTAAAAATATTTTCTTGCAATTTCTTGTACAGTACTGTAAGTGAAATTGATTGATCTCTTGACGTACGAAGATAATGTATCATGCTTGAAAAAAAGGAATGAGACAATGTTGAATTTCATATTCCAAGGGGGTTCACATATGCAGGACTCACATACTTTTTGACAACTGTGCTCGACCTAGCACTGTCAAAATATCGCTTAAAATGCAATACAACAGGACAATTTAAATTAAAATAATTCGGATGAATTTCAAATCAATATGCTTAGCGCTTCCCAGTACTTTCAGTACTTTGATTTAATGTCTATACTTGTGTTGTTCATAATTCGAAAGGAAGGACAGTTTGTGGCTGTACAGACATGTAAAGCATGTGGTGGATATGTTTTCAACGAATTCACTCAATTAGCAAAACTTATTTCTCGGAATCCATGTATTGTGCTCTAAAATTGTGCATGTAGTGTGCAAGATAATTGGTGAAAAATGCTAAAACTTTTAATTAACGT